TCAAATCGCTTTAAACTATTGTCATTGTAGTGCGTATTTAATGTGGCGCTGCACTCTGATGTTGTAGGAGAAACATTTATTAAGACGTCTATTTCATTAAGTAGAACGTGTTGTCTATATTTATTTAAAGTTGCGCATTTTTACGTGACGTCACATTTCTCAAACCCCCCCTCCCTCGTCACACATCGTCACAAATGTCTGACCCCCCCCCCCCCCCAGGTGCGTGACGTCATTTATGGACGGCCCCTAAAGGGGCTGTGCCAGAGCGACCCCCCCCCCCCGTGTTGCTCTCGCTTGCCCCTAAGTCGCAATACCCCGCCCTGGCCGCTAGGTGTCCCCACAGGATTATCAGTGGAAGCACAAATAAGCGATGTAAACGATATCATGAACACATTCATGCGGAGGGAGCAGGTAGGAACGTTGGGTTGCTCGGTCAATGGCCAGGGTCAAGGGCGGCGTGGTGTATTCCGCAAATATGCCCGACTGTGAGGGCGGGCACAAGCCGGCGTGAGTAGGTTAAACGTTGAGTTTTATAAGGGCACCACGGGGTGACCAGCCCCTCCCCACCCAGCCCCACCCCTCCCACCCCCCACCCAGCCCCTCCCCACCCTCCCCACCCAGCCCCTCCCCACCCAGCCCCTCCCCACCTTCCCCACCCAGCCCATCCCCACCCTCCCCACCCGGCCCCTTCCCATCATCCCCACCCAGCCCCTCCCCACCCTCCCCTCTCCACCCAGCCCCACCCCTCGCATTTTTGGATGCACGACGGACGGACGGACACAATAATCCCATGTGGGCTGGTGTAACCAGGAGGTTCCTACCAGTATAATAATTCCCTATTTACCCATGAAAATAACGCTGAGTCCAAAGACTGTTCATTTTCTCACGAGGGTCCTGCAATGGGATGTTTGGTCAACACCTGTGACACGCACTGTGAGTTCTTAGACAAGCAAAGTTAAACAAGCAAAGCCAATGTTTATATATTTTTAAAACATTTGCACGGATGATCTCGTGCGGTCAGTTTCCCGTCAAATTTACAAGGGAGACCCGTGGTGCTTGAGCACCATAGCAATAACTAAAGAAAGTAAAACCAATCTCACATCAATATGGGTACACTTTGGGAAGGCGATAGATTTAATTTTCTGTCAAAATGGTACTTATAGTGGAGTGATCAATTATTTAATCTGTCAACGCTGTCCACTGACCCCACTTAATCACACGTCCAAAAGCAACGTGTATTGGTGGCACAGAAATCATACATGTCCGGAGAACTCCTCTTAGACGAGTACATGATATAAATTACTGATACCAATGATATGCAGTTTACGGGAACGAGGCCGACATTTTCATAAACATTTACATTTGACCAACTTAGGAATCCATACTCTTTGGTTTTTTCGGTAAAGTCACGTAGGTATAAAATAAAATAAATCACGACGTTTCGGGCGCAACACAAGCGTCCATCATCAGGTGGGAAACGTCGTGATTTATTTTATTTTATACCTACGTGACTTTACCGAAAGAACCAAAGTGTATGGATTCCTGCAGTCACGAAAGCTTCAAATCAAGATTCAACTTAGGAGTCTTGTGCCGCTTATCCGTTCTACTATTTACACTATCACCGTGCGACAGTGGTTTACAATCATACAACGGATAGGCGTAAGTTTTGTGTTACGGTATATGCGTTGCAACACTGTTGCATTTGCCTTACGAAACTAATTACAACAGTCACAGTACGCTTGCTGTATCAAGTAAATGAGAGATTCCAAGAGATACTATCCCGTATATATACTGGTTGTGGGGGGGGATGGGCCAGGACAGGCCCCCTTTTTATTATTATGGTAAGGTGCGGCTTGAGACTACGGCTAGTCTACATAACACGGAAGCTTGTGTTGCCTCCGAAACGTCGTGATTTTTATTTTATTTTCATTTTATTTTACTTTTATTAATTTTAATTTTCTTTTTTTACCTACGTGACTTTACCGAAAAAAACCTAAGAATATGAATCCTTGCAGTCACGAAAGCTTCAAATCTAGAATTAATTACAACAGTGTTGTGCCAGAAATTGTGTTTTGTTATTGTTGTTATGGTTGCAAACACCTGAGGTCCAGGACTTTTGAGGCATGGGTTGGTGTATTGCATGAATTTGTGAAACTCCCGGGAGATGGCAGTACAGCCAAACAAAAGGCTGATAAACCCACGTCTTAAGAATTATGACTTGTTTATACGCTCCTGTGCACGCTAGATTTTCTCCGACTACGCCCTTACCACACGCAACACACCCTTTATGAAATGTTTAAAATGTCATCAATTCAGGTGTGGACAATTTCACACACAGTGATCAGTCGACATAAATTGTCTCCACTTCACATCGTTGATGTAAAGAAAGGATAGCTTCTATACAAATTCCCCTCGTGCCTAATTCCGAGCTGGTTGCTTTGCTTCATAAACCCAACGCATTCACGTTTGAGTTTTTTTGTTAATTTATATGACAAATATAGAGTATTAAAGATTCTGCTGTTTAAGCCATACTAGATTTCAAATTAGATGGCAGCATCTGTAAAACAAACAATTTAAAATGAAAGCTCATCTAATTATGGCACAGTTTGTCTCGACAAATCTGTCAGCACACCAAGTGGAAACACAAACGTTGCAGTTTAACCAGTGGAAATGTAGCTTTGTACAACGCACCCTGCGTACTTTAGGTAAAGTTGTACAAATTTCAAAAGGCACATTTTGTGTCCGCGTTTAACCTTCTGGTCAAAACGTGAAAGGCTGACTAACTTTCCGATAGCCTTGCCAAAAAAGAACAAAGTACGTTTTTACGACCTTAGTGTGCCCAAATATCCAGCTGGGTTCAAAGGGTTTTTTTTTTTAAAGTGTGGTTTGGAAATCTTTCATCTTCTCTCAGATAGGAAAATCATTTGTGACATCGCCAGAAACTGTTGGAGGTGAATTAGAAAAATACAACTCAAAGCTTTCTCTGGCATACCAAAGTGTGCACTCCATTGTCAGTAGCACTGCTGTTGAGACAGCGTTAAGGTAAGGGAGCAGCCCTGCAAGTGCTTGCTCACATCACTGCTAGCAAAAAGGGCCTACACCAGAGGGAGCTCTCGATATCCGTCGAGAGAGCATGTTGCCTACTCTGTCATCCTGGCCAGACGTCTTGGGAAATGTAGGAGTATCCACAATTACCGCACCAAACGCTACCTGCCGATTGCCTGACTCCAGTAACACCCAATTACACATCCGGGAGTCCAAACGGCGATTTAAGAAACTATCCCATACTTCAACGTCCGCACCAGGAGATCGAATGGGCGTCTTCTGCATTGCAAGTCCAGTGTGTTCACCGTTACACCGTGGCAGAATCCCTACCTACAAGATGGAAGAATGACAAATGCGTAATCATTGGGCAGTGTGCACCCCGTGTCTGAAAGTCACTTTTATTGAGGGGCCTTTCCCGCTTAACCATTGTTAAATAACGTATCCGCTTGTAAATTGCAGTATTTGCTTTATTTCAAGCGTATACACATGATACGCAAGTAATGGCTTGTTGTGCGTTCTATTATGTATCATTCACCCACAAACGAGATGGAGACATGAAATCAGATCTCGTGCAGGTGCTGGGTGGATTGTACATCACAGGATCATGACAGGCGGCAACAGCTTGGGGAGGCCTGCATCCAGCAGTGGATTGAGCACGGCTGAAGATGACGATCAGTAAACTATAGCTTTGTACCATTTGTAAAATGTATCGCTCTCAACGGCTGAATTGAAGAACCATCTTAGTTTAACTTACACGTGGCATCGTCATCTACAGACTTGGCAGGGGTAGTCTCCTGAGCCACGGTGGGGGAGGGTCCGGTTATTAATCAGATCTGTTTCAGTTCGTAAGCAATGCTGATAAAGAATGGCATTCATACATGAATTTGGAAAGGTAAATATAACACACCTTGCGCATACTATTCTTAGGTTTTTTCGGTAAAGGCACGTAGGTAAAAAGTAATAATTAAATAATGATAAATGAAAATAACTAAATTAAATCACGACGTTTCGGAGGCAACACAAGTCTCCGTCTTCAAGTGGGACCGTCACAGCCAAATTTACTGTATCAAGGGAAGGGAAATCCAAGAGACAAGATCTTAAATACTGGTTAAGGGGAGGGGGGAGGAGCTTATCTAAATGTTGCAAGTCACGTGGGGGGAGGTGGGCGGGGCTAGAAGGGGAGGTGGGCGGGGCTAGAAGGGGAAGGTGGGCGGGGCTAGAAGTTCAAGTTCAACCTCCGCAAGAATTACGGCCGGTGTTGGCTTCCAAAACCAAAAAATAGCAGCACTGTTAAACGCTGGGGATGTCAACAACTCGGTAAAATAGACTAGTAGCTGTCAAATAAGATGGTACAAATATGCGTAGTTAAATCTTTTTTTACATGGTTAATAACATCTTATACTCTTAGTTCTTTCGGTAAAGTCACGTAGGTAAAAAATTAAAATTAATAAAAAATAAGACAATAAAAAATCACGACGTTTCGGAGGCAACACAAGTCTCCGTCATCAGGTGGGACCGTAACAGCCAGATTTGCTGCATCACACTTGATGCTTGCAGTCACGAAAGCTTCAAATCTAGAATTAATAACATCTTTCCAATGATTGCAGCCACATTGACGTCTATGTTGAGGAATGCACACATTGAATCAATGGCTGTTTCATTTACTGCTGAAATCATGCGGACTCGTGCAGTTACGCTGTGGTGGGCATCATCGCGTTCCCTTTCATGGCTGCCACTCCACCACGAGTCTCAAGCACCAGACATTATTCCTTCGAGGGATGTGTCCTGCTTTTGGTAAACTAAAGTTAATCATGAAAAGCCAAGGTCATATGGGCAGTCAAAATAATTTTTTATTGGCGACACTCGTTGTTCAGTGAAAGTGTCAACAACAATAAATACTGAAACCACAACTGTGCTCAGAGGGTGAGAGGAGAAAGATGGACCGTGGACGAGACTTAAGTTACACAGGATAAGTTTATTTTAAGCACCGTCTCTCCATGGGAAAGTACACGCGGACAGCAAAGCTTATTGTTGGTCATTTCTTTCTACACAAAACACACAACTACTGTCATATTATAACGAAACCCAGTGACGTAGCATGGTTGGCATGGGCCCTTGTGCAAAGGATGAAATGGGGGCCTCCCCCCCCCACAACTCCTGTCCAATGTCTCCCCCCACTGACAGCTCGGTGCCTGGGCCCCCTCTGGTTCCATGGGCCACGGTGTCAGTTCATCGGCTGCACACTCCACCGAGTGAGGCAATATAACACCATCACATTGATTTAACAACTCTTTAAAATGTAAATCCACTGCAATTGCAAGAACCTGATTGTATACACAATGCTTGCATAGTTACATGACTGCATAGTGGACGCTGACAAAACGATAACAATTGCCTAGTGTATTAATAATTGCAAAGTGTAAATGAATGAATAATAATAGAACACTTATACGTACAAAAGTGGTGCTGTAATACAAAGGTAATTTACAAATTTTACATTTGAAATACAATTTGTTCTTGTTGACAAGTTTAAAATACTGTTACCAGAAGCCAATGCTCTGGGAAGAAGAAAAAAACTGCTCACATGGTTACGTTGATCACATTTCAAAACTTTGTTCAAATGGCCGTAACCCACACGCACACAACCCGGCATACACAGGACGCCTGGCAAGTTCTATCAGGGTTTCTCAAACCCTCCAAAAGTAGGGTTTGCCAAAGCTGGCAATTCCTACTTTTGAGTCCAGGCTCTACAGAGATTTCCCTCCGCTCAAATTACCGTAGGGTTATCTCGGTTTCTCCTGCTGTCTGGCATTCGTATCTGATGGGCCACGGAATGACTGATGAGTACAAGATTGTTCGGTGAAACAATTCCAGAAATGATGAGAAAGAGAAACCGGTGACAGTGTTTACAAAACATGTCCCTTTTTTACTTTCAAAGCTGAATAGCGTCAAAATGTCAATTCCATCAATAATAATTATTTTTTGGAAAAAGAACGCATCCACAAGTAGTGTGATACAAATCTACCACGATACAGGGCAGTTGTACCAACACGTGGAGGCCTGCATCCAGCAGTAGATGGACAAATGGCTGTAGGTTATTGTACAAAACAGTGTAATATTCTTGGTTCTTTCTTTGGGTGAAGTCACGTAGAAGGGAAATAATAAAATAATATAAATAGAAAACAATAAAAAATATATATTATTTTATTATTTCCCTTCTACGTGACTTTACCGAAAGAACCAAGAATATGAATCCCTGCAATCACGAAAGCTTTAAATCAAAAAATAAAACAGCGTAATGTTAACATTTCAGAAATTACACTCATGGTAATTACGGATGGATAGCTGTCGGCCAAAAACATCAGGCATCTTATTTAAAAAAAGATAGTTTTTTTGCCAAAATAATTACTGTAATTTACCAATTCTATTTTTTCATATCTTGGCGATGTCTTGTGAAGCTATGTATTATTTTTATCATTGATCCAGTCTTAAAAACATTGTGGCGAGTATTTATAAAATACATTACCCCTTTGGGAGCCAGATCATTATTTCATACGCCTTTATTATTCGAGGCACATGAATGCTTATTTTAAACTGACTGTACTGCATTCATAGTATATTGTTTCATAACGTTTAAATGTACACATTAGGAAGTGCTGAATATTTTGGCACACGTTGGTAACAATATAGGTATTTCAAGCAAAATGTACAGCATCTAACAGCTTAAATCGATTTCTATCAGGATTTAATAAATAGTATTTCGTGTATAAATAACCATGCATTTGAAATGTGCACAACTGATGAAAATGCTACAAGTGACCTATAAACAGAGCACAGCGATGAATCGATCACGGCTGATTTTGATTGTGAATTAAACAGCATGGGGCGGCATTTTTGTTAGCAACTGTAGTCTGTGCTTTTGAAGCACTGCAGAATAAAGGTTGGAATGCAGCCACTCATTGGATGAGGTGGCAGTGTGCATCTTTCTGCCAGACTGCAATGGCATGGAATAACATGGGGTTTAGGAATGTGTCAAACCTGCCTGCTCAAATGAAGGTCAACAATTCATCGCGAGTGAGGTGCAGAGTTCAGCACTACGCGCTATTAACACAATTACCTCTTGTGTAAAGGCTTTAGACACATTTGTCACCCGACGCCGTTACCTGCGTTCAAGGAGTGTTGTTTTCTTGGAATTATCTGCACCACGTGTCATTACCTACACACGCCACTAGGTGGCGCACATATGACATTGGGAAAACGAGATTCTTTCACGATTGGCAAATTTGTAAATACCACAGGAACATTCCACGAATGCACAATACACGTAATTACTTCTGTAAATAAATTTCTAATGTATCATCTCAATGTTTCCCTCTGCATTTCATTGTATTTACAATTGACGGTAGAATAATACTTGGCACGAATTAAGTTGCTCGTAAAGTTTATAAATACAACAATCCCTTGATTTTGGGTTGATGAATCCATGTCAGGTAAAGGTTGCCGTAGGTTCTCAACTACATCCCACAAACAAGCAGCCTCGTGAAGTTACATTTCAATTGTGGGATATATATATATTTCGGTACAAATTAAATACTTTTTACTGGGTTTTTTTGGTAGAAAATAACGGTGCATGAAATAGCGTTCAACTTCGCAATTCTTCTGACAATTTGAAGCAGAACCCATCATTGTGCTACCATATGCATCAAAGCACACATTATTTGTTGCTCCGAACAATTGGGCAAATATTTGACACTTCTCGTGCTTAAAGGAGAATAAAATCCTCTCAGCTCTCAACGCCAGCCACTCTAATACAGACATTCACATCATGAAAATAATTAAGATTAATGTCATGGTATCTGCATGTAAATAAATACAATTAATATCAATACGTACTTTGTCCAAATATAATTAAGCGTACATACTCTGAGTTCATTTGTAATCGCAAATTAACACCACGCGTTGCCCATACATTTTTTTTCTCCCACATTTACGTACTCCTTTATAAATATTATTAAACATTAAGTGTGTTTATACTTCACTTGCAAGTTAAGTCTGGCTTTTATATATTACCATACAAATTTGTCAAAACTGCCAGAAGAGTTGCGTTCTACACTAAAATCCTATAATTATTATAAACACCGGAATGTTTACACACTTGCTTATAATAGGCAAGTTTGATTTTAGTTTTTTTCATAAGATACTGTAGAAAAACTCCTCTTTGTTCATCACATTTGTTTGTTGCTTCACAGCACCATCCCTTTAATACAGCTATTCGAGAAGCAGTGGCATTTGGGTAGAGGTGAAGCCCCTGCAATTTCTCGCTCATGCCACTGGTGGTGGAAGGACTTCCACGAGAGGAAGCTCTAAAGAGCCTCGCCGGAGAGTATTCTGGTCTACTCTTCCACGCCAGTGGCCTTTAAACACAACATAAATCCACAACGCATCATCGTATGCTAATGAATCAAGTCAAACCACAAACTCCAGAAAACCATCGCCACCAATTAAGTCGAGCGAGAGGCAGTTGCTGGCGCGCTTGACGAGGCACGGCCGGTGCAAGGGTCCGAAGCCGTACTTGTCCGAAGGCCTCTCCCCCCTCGACGCGGCGTGGTATCCGCCGCCGCCGCCGCCACCCCCGTGGCAGCCGCCCGCGGTGACGCTGCCGCTCTGCAGCGAGCAGCCGAACGTGTAGCTCTGGGACACGTCGGGGTCAACGGCCACCGCAAGGGGTCGATCGCCCTGGTAGAGCCGCACGTCGTCCAGGCTCTGGCTGTGCCGGTCGCTCGAGACGCGTGGCTTGGGCGCTCGTGTCACCACCTGTCCAGGTCAGGCCAGAAGGCACCTTTTTCGTCAGCAGATGCCTCCTCCGTCAAGCAATCGCACGCTCATTTGTTGTGTTAGCTTTGAACGGCGTACCTCCAAACTTCAAGATTAATATTCAGTTGTTAGACGATATAGATAATGAGTCTCAATATTAATAAGAAAAATGAGCTGCGGGGTTCATGGACTGCGTTAAGTTGCATTTATAGCAAAATAAGTAAATTTTGCACTTATCTGATGAGCGAAACTTGATATTTAAGGGGGTCGTGGATTATTGGGTATATTTTTGTAGTTTTAGTGTATGCATTTTGACCTACATTAAATGTATGTGGTATCCGTTTTTCAAAATAATCTATATCTATTTATACTTTATATTTCTTTGTCGACTACAAACACAGATGTTTAATATTTCTGCAGGGAAGGTAAAAGTGTTCGAGAGCTCCTTCAGAACCAGATTTCTTGTTCACTTTTTAAAATCCTCAATTTAGCTTTTTCTTGCCTTTGGCAGACCCCCTCTTAAGATGATCTTTCTTAAATTCTTAAAATATCTCATTTTCTGAATAAAATCAATGGCATTGAGTTATGTTGGTCTGGTTACAGCAGCTCAGAAACACAGCTGGCTTTTGGCACAAGATCTGAGCTCTGTGGAAACAAAACATTTGAGCACAAATAGTATCTGGCTTCAGAACAAAAGGCTAATAACATCTGTTATGTGGTTATATTACGAATCAGAGTCTTGGCCACCATTTTGGTTTACTGCTGAAGTATGTTGTAAATTATATTTCTGGAATTTAAAATCTGAAAAAAGAATCAATGCCCACCACTGTTCACCAACGTAAATCAACATTTTTATGGCTAAATATAATTTAAAAGGTGCTGAATGTACCCATTAGAAGCATGTGGCTTTGGGAAATTAATTGTCTCAAGATTGTTCACAGTACGGTGAATACAATCCTCTTTTCAATCAAAGTGTTTTCATGTAAGTGCATACTACCAAATAGCCACGGGACACAAATAAAAAACCAGAGTGGAAAATACCACAACTACTAGATCAGTGGTGAATAATATTTGATCCGGTCCATGGCACACCTTCGAATAACCTGAACTGACCAGCATGGTGAAATATGGTCAAACAACTCCAACAACCGACATGGCCTGGCAAGAACTTCATCAGCAGTGGATTTACAAAGGACTGTACTTTATCATTGTCATCATTGAACCACTTGTCAATGCAGAATGCAAATCGACACCTTGTGTAGTCACTTGACAGATTGGTATTTAGGATGTTTATGACATACAGAAATGTGGCATTGCAGTATTTTGATAAGAGAAAAGAAAATTCGACATAACAGAACGGTGTAATATATCGATCATTGACACGGCTATTGAGTGTGCAGACGGTGTAACTGCACCAGGGCCCGGGCGCTGGGCTACTCAGAGGGGGGACATTTAATTGTTTTGCTATGAGCACGCATGCCAACCCACGCTACGCCACTGCTGTTAGCCTTTCAATAACAGACATGACAGCGTGATAAAATGCTAATTACAAGTGTAACCCTGTAACGGCAGAGGTTCAATATAATTACGTTTTAAAAGGATTTCAATGATGTGCATTTAGAAATGAGATTGTATTTAGCGCATTTAAATAATACTAAGTAACTCCCTGTAACTAAAGTATACAATTTCAGAAACCCATGCTCATCGAAACAGTTACTGATATGTCTAGATTTACAATGATAATTGTTGACAAGATTTTATTTCTTTTTCATTCTTAACAGTATATTTGTTCTTTTAACTTGAGCATTGTTAAATCCGTATGTTTGTTGTTTTAGTGATAAGCGCTCCGGTTGCCTGGGTGAAACATGGGGCAACATCTATCTCTGCCCATTTCTGATCAGCAGGCTCATGACTTAATACATGAAACATGTAAAATACGTGTATGTCGACATCCCTCTCGTTATATACTAATGTTATGATTAAACATAGTGCAGTGGTTCACACGCCGATCCGTGAGCCCGGTGACATGAGTTCGATTCCTGCCCACAGCTCACATCGCTGGCAATATCTAAACCAGTCCTGGGTTCCCCCTTCTTCACCAATCCACATTGATCACATGGTCAATTACGCTCAAACAAACTCCCATAACCCGCAACGGAGTGGGGACATCCTCCATGCAGTAGTGGACTCACCAAGGGCTAGAAAGTATTTTTGTTCTATTCTAATAAAGAGCACACAGAAGTCAAAGTGACTCGTAAAAAACTAATCTCAATATAAATGTGCCAATTGAAGAACGCAGTGCTCCTCTGCTAAGCGCTGCGTACCTGGGGCAGGCAGTCGGTGCTGGTGCCACGCAGTTTAACGGCGGTGGACCCAACCGCCGCCGGAGCCACCAAGGTGCCGAGGTCTTCTTGGTACACACTCATCTCTGTCAAGCCGGCACACGGACACACACCAGGGCCACAGTCGTCTTCATTGACCAAAAACACCTTCGCTCAACGGTATGCAATGAACACTTTCTTACACTGCTACAGATTATGGTTGCGAGTGTTATTTTAGGGCAACATCAACGTACGTAAAAACATAACTAAAGACTTTAAATTGAGAATGCCTCCCTCCAGGTTAAGTCAGAATGTGTAAGAAAACTATATATTTTTTATGGGTTGAAATTTTAGTTCTGAAGAAAGTTCACCAGCATATTTGCCCTCACATAATAATAATACACATTAGCCACACACAAAAAACGGAGGACCTTTTCAAACAATACATCTGTTATTATTTAAATATATATCCACATATGTAACCAGGGCATTACCACTACAAACAGATTGTTATCTTAGGCTTCCATTGCTTACCTCCGTCAGGAAAAGCGTACAGGTGTTTTTGTTGTCAGAGGAAAATCAAGCATGAATATATACAGGACATTTTTCTCTTGTTGACTGCATAGCTTTGACCCCTTCAGCTGGTATCAATCCTGTTGAAAGTGACTTTGATAGAACACGCACAGAGCACTTTCCCTGCTGGCCAGAAAGAAAGGCGCACAGTATAATGGAGAGCAGATGGCCACTGAGAGCACATCCCGCGGGGATTGACCTCACCTTGGCCAGAGTGCAGGCTGGGTAGCAGGTCCTGCATCTCCTCACTGAAAACCATCTGCTGTGGCTCGTCAACAGAGACCTCCACCGCTTCAAATCCAACTGAGCCAGAGCACGCAACAACACTCTGCGTTACCATTAGCCAAGCGTAATTCACTTTAAACTTTTATGTACGGCCATTTGTGTCAGCCCACTGCTGGATGTACTGCATGGGAGATGCAGTGTAAATAATCAACAGTGACGATGACGGTGGGTTACGGCCTCTCCATGCCGTGAGGGTTGTTTGTGAGGGTTATTTGACCATACTTCACTATGTTGGTCAATGCAAGTTGGTTCACGGCCATTGAAACTCGGGCAAGTTTGTTTTTAATCTGCCCCCCCTCCCACCCACGTATGTCCACCCAGTAATATAAATGTATCCACCACGTTTGGTCAATCGGAATGTCGCACGCGGTGGGGTAAGGTGTATGGGTTCTCCCACATCTTCCAAGGCATTTGGACAGTGTGAAAACAATTGGGGGTAGGGGGGGGGGCTCTCTAGAGCCCCTCTTAGTGGTGGACCTTCCACCAACAGGGGCTTGAGCAAGTAATTGCAGGGCTGCGCCCTTACACTTTTTTTTTTCAGTGTCACACCATGCCACGGTGGCAACCCTGATCTTCCACAATCAACCGCCGTGTCCTCGCGTCACCTTGCTTGGAGGACGTCCGTGCTGCCCCTGTCAGCCAGACGCTGGCGCGTGTCTGCCTCGATGCCCGATGTGTGCGTGCTCGCCCGGCTCGCGCCCGAGTGGCCCGACCAGCGCTTGTCGCCGGTGCCTCCGCTGCCGCCGTGAGACCGCGGCGCTCCCTCCAGGGTCTCGAGCTCCAGCTCCAGCGTGTCGCTGATGTACGACTCACGGTAGCGCAACTTGGCTGCACGCGCAACAACGGCCGGATATATAAACAAAAAAAATTCTGTGTTTACACGGGCCGGATATGCTGCTTCCTGTTATACACGACATTCATTCTGCTCATATTTATCCTGAGCCCAACTTTGCTGGCTTCTTTATTCAACTTTTGTTTCATTTCCTGTAATTTATTTCCATTAGTTAGAATGGCTACGTTGTCAAAAAATATGATATTTCCTCCATTATTATTCATTTTTGGAACACGCCTTCTCCTGTAGCTGTGAATAATAATTGCATCCATATGCCGCAGACTCCCTGACACAAGCAATTATTTAAAAAAACACGACTTTAAATTGCCTTTCATGTGCACTTAAATGACAGCACTGTGGCACACTGCCTATTAAACATGTCACTGCAGAGAGTGACTGTAAGTTACTTTCAAGTCTTTTTTCTCAAATTAACTAAACTTCAAGCTTCACTGTATAGCTAGAAGATATGAGTTATTTTAGGTTGAGTCTTATTCTGAATCCTTGCAATAAGATAATATTCTCAATGTATAGAAATTCAGGGAAATACACAATTCTATCAGCCTTTCCGATGCATCTAGAGCAGCGGTCCCCAACTTTTTTGGCACCAGGGACAAGTTTCGTGGAAGACAATTTTTTCACGGACCGGGAGGGGGGGGGGGTCATCATTGGATCTTTCTCCCTTTTCAAGGAAACTTTCCAGAGACGTTTGTTTTTTACTCATTTTGGCCAGGGGTCAGCTTGTGGGCTTACCAACACTGTGACTGCTACAAGTGCGCAGTGCGGGAAAGAGGCACGGATGGAAGTGGTTAATAATAAAATAATGGGGGCGGGCCACGTGCGGACTCACCGCTCTCACCTCCTGCTGCTGTGCGGCCCGGTTCCTAACAGGCCACGGACCGGTACCGGTCCATGGCCCGGGGGTTGGGGACCCCTGCTCTAGAGCATTTAGAAATATTCCTGTAGAATCCAGTAACTTTTACTTAAGTTGAAAAATCTAAATACATTATTATCCTTTAATACAGATATTTACAATCCGCTCAGAGCATTTTTCTCTTGTGAATAATATGGAATGTCAAATTCAGTAACTAAACAATGATGATTTTATCTTTGTGCCAAGCCCGAGTGAAAATGCATACCTGGCGAATGGACAATATTGACATTAAACAATTAGTCAGCTTTTTCGACAACAACCCTGCTTTAAAAAGATCCGTCAGTAGCACAGTAAATAAAAATCCAAAACGGGTCAAACCAGATTAACAAATGTGTGCACATTAGCGAACATGACAGAAATTAGAATGGAAAACTACTCCACAACAATGTTAATTACTGATACAAATGCAATATATTTTAATAAAATACGTGAACACAGTGATGGTGCATAATTTAATACACGATCAAGCAAATGCGTACAATCAAGAGTGAAATGCGCAGGTTTAGTTAAAACTTGTATAACTAAATAACACATTGTAATCAAAACAGTGGCATTTAACTTTGCCAGTGTAATGTGAATTTGCATCGTGGCTAGGGGCAATCAGGTGAGTGGTGGAGCAATGACTAGGACACTGCACTGTATAATAGTCTTTGGTTTTTTTCGGTAAAGTCACGTAGGTAAAGGTAAAAAAAAATGAAAACTAAATTAAAACACGACGTTTCGGGCGCAACACAAGCGTCCTTCTTCAGGTGGGGACAACATAGCGAAAGCATAACCGCTTAAGCCCGAAACGTCGTGATTTAATTTAGTTGTTTTCATTCATTTTTTTTTTTATGTACCTACGTGACTTTACCGAAAAAACCAAAGAGTATGAATCCATGCAGTCACGAAAGCTTCAAATATAGAATTAATGCACTGTATAAACCTGGCAACCTGAGTTTGATTCCCAGCTATAGATAACACCAGTGGCGAGTGATATAATACCAGTGGCGAGTGATATAACATCAGTGGTGAGTGGTATAACATCTTTGGCGAGATCTGATTATCTGTGCCAACCAGCAAATTATAATTTTATTAAATATATACTACAGAACACTGAACATGGCACTCCAGATTTGGCCAGAAAATGATCGTAAAGCAAATGTACATTCTTAAATGCATCTGTGTGGAGTTTTGTAGGTTTTCTCCAGGCATTTTGGTTTCCTGTCACATGCCATCGGCCAGATATTCAGATTCAAGACTCTCCTGAAAAAGTCTTGACACTCAGTTAGACTTTGCTGGGCAAAGGGGCGCTATCATTATAAATACCGATGGAGGGAAAAAACACGCACACACACACATCTTGTGCTATGACAAGTATTTTTATAGACCGAACGTAGTCCAAGGTCACTGTGAACAGTTTGTCCTTTCGAATCTCCCGTTCCATGTGCCCCATAATAAGATCACATGCACAGTTTTTTTTTCGACTTCTCAGCCAAAACAGACAGTGGGCGGACGCTCGTGTCTCTCGAAGGCCGTCTCTGGTGTAGGCCAATCAGTTTCAAAGACAATGCTATATATGATCAGAGCATGTTTTTTTTGCCTGTTCACCACAAGTGCATGTGGTTAATACGGACATGATTCCTTGCGAAAGGTTTCCGTTTGGTGTTTTAACATCTTAACACAAATGTTTTATTGCCAGAAAGAGTAACTATTCTTACATGCTCATGGCTCTCTCGGTATTTATTGGCTTTGCACACGATGGCCGCCTGCCACTTTGCCCCTCCTGCACTCACTCACCCTCCTTGTCTTCCAGGCGCTGCAGCTTGAGCAGGCGCTGCTGGGTGCTCAGGAAGAGGCGGTGCGTCTCGCTCAGCAGCCGCAAGAGGTGGCGCGAGCGTGTTGGGCAGCCCGTGTAGTAGGTGAGCTTGCGGGCAGAAGGCAACCCGTCCGGCTCCAGTTCAAACTTCTTACCCTGGACAATATCGCGGCGTGAACAAAGCGCAACATCACCAACACCGCCAAGACCACAATCGTGACTGTCATTTCATTTTTAGCTCTCGTTTTCCTAACGCGACCAATCGCGTCAAGATCTCGGAAGCTAAGCAAGTTTGAACCTGGACAGTCCCTCGGATGGGCGGGTGGGTGACCGCCACACATAAAACAAGTGTTGGAGGCTGCAGAGGAGCTACGTTGTCAACGGAGGTCAGTAGAGTAGCGAAATCCACTGAACTCTCCAATGCTCCAACATCTATGCTCCCTACCTTCACCAACCCTTCTTCAGGAACAGGGCATGAATTCAGTTCCTGAAGAGGCTCCCAGCACATGCAGTGAAAAGTCAGAAATCGTGCCAAACAACGCACAGCATGACCCGAAAACATAGGAAGATTATAGAGTATGAACGCAAAACCGTGCGTAGTAATTCTGCGAACCTTTAAGACCGGACTTTGTGTGTATACGCACAAGTACACACTACCAGAGCCAATTGACAACATCTACCGTGGTGAATCATACATCACCTCCCAACTCCCCTTAGAGCGCAGGTAAGTCGTGCATTATAGAATTATTATTACATAACCGTAGAAAATGAGGAACAGAGAGGAAGACCATCGTTTCACAAAAAATGTTTCAAGAATGTCCATGAGCTTCGTGACCAACTGGACCAAGGTATTCGAGTGGCATTTGCTAAAGGAGGCAAATCCTGGGCCAGTTTCAACCTTTTTATCATCTCCATGGCTTCATCAGCAATTAGGATATTACAGCCGCACGCAGTGCCAATGTACCACGAATTAATCCAATAAAATCCTGAAGGTATTGGATCAAGTGTGAAAACAAACCCTTCCCGATTCAAAAGTTAACTTGCACTGAGTGGTGCAATAACGCTGACTGTGTTTTTTTCTTGGCAGTTTCGTGAAGCATCGGTCTAAAAGTGTCTTTGCTACCAAGCTATCTGCGCCGCCAACCAAGCGTTACGTTTCTCTGTTTTGAAAAACAAATGTTACGAGGCTTACTTTACATAGATTTTTTTTAAACCAAATAAGCCTCTAAGAACACTTACACAGTGGTGTGTACATTTAGCATAACCTGTCAGGCAAGAAAAAGGGGCTTTCACGGTAATATTTGATTAATTACTTCCAGACATATACGTTTCCACTCTGCTAAAAGTAACCCAACAGGATGTATTATTTACCTCTTCCTGCCAGCCTGCTATGTCAATTCTTATTTTGCTTTGTAAACCTCAAGAATGTCAAAAACGTGTTGTAAATAAGGCAGGCTCTTTGACTTGTGACTGATATGAGATTTACTGAATTACACCACAAGGCTTTTAAGAGAACATTTTTTTGTTAAATCTAAAAGCCAACATTCCAACTCTTGTATTTATTTTTTCAAGCACCTAATGCCCAATTTATTGACAAATGAATAATTCACGACTTGTTTATACCAAGCTGCACAGTTGTTGATTTACAACCTTTATGTTACCGAATGCATTGTTTTATTCATGAAAATTGTCTTTACATTGTTCCCCCTGAGAGCCCACATATGAACCCTGCACCACAAACAGCAGCGTTGGTGTCAGGAGTGTTTATTTTCCTGCAGACTATCTGTTCACTCCGGAACGAATATTTGTGGGAAGTAATATAATTTGCACAAGTTTAGTGCTCCAACATGTTATTAGCCCCCATAGACACCTGGCTACCTCCAACAATTATATATGTCAGGCATTGTACATTCCTGATTTTAAAAAATATATATATGTATATAAGGAGCTCATTCCCTGAAAACCTGCATTTGTCTCACAAGAAAAGGAAGGCGCTGTACAATTCCACCAGCTGACCAAGGCGGCAAACATTTACAGCTATGCAGACTTTCATATATATACAAAAAAAATTAGCACATACTGCATAACATCGTCTTATTTCCACTTACCAGAAATGTTAACTTTCCGACATTGAACCAGGGAAAGTCATAAAGTAAGTGTCTGGTTTCTCCGGCCTCCTGGGCACACAACAAGGAATACACACGCACGCACACACACGCAGGTATCTTAAGTGGAACATTCAGTTTCTTCCAGACAAAAGAAGGAACATAGTGCAGTAATTTCAAGTTCTTTGCAGCGGTGCAATTTGTTCCTGACATTCTGCTGGAACAAGTCTCTCGGCACGGTTCTAAAAGTGAGCTATTGATGAGACAGGACAGAGGGGATGTCACGATAACCTGTGACACCTGCGATTACTGGCCCCCATCATAAGTAAAAAATATATAAATGAATGCCATTCTCACTCCACAATGGATGCTGGTCAGTGTGGGTTGATGATGGGGCTAGGAATCGAACTTGGAACAACGGGTTCAACGGGCAGTGTGCGAACCACCGCAGCTAATCTTCACAACTGTTTATATTCGATAAACTGTAAGATGAATATTAACCTCACAATGCATCGATACTTTATCAAGATAATGAACGGGTACAACTTGGAGGATACAACCCAGAAAGGTTTATTGGCGCGACTTTAATGATGTTGTAAAGTGTTAACAAAATTATTAAAATACATTTTTTTAAAGATTAATGAGCCTAACGCGAACTACCGTACCAAACAGAAACGTGTAAATGGCAAACTAAATAGTTTTAATACAACGTTTTAAGTTGGCATAACTAAATAATGACTTAATTACACATGATTAAAGATGTTTAACACTTAGCTCCACCACCAACAGAAAGAAATATAAGTGTGAATCAGGGTTAAGAAGATAGTGTATTTATTGCAGTATAATACCTACATCATAATGACACTGAAAATAGTTAATTATCCTTGATATCAAAGCTTGATAATTATATTTTTGTTGTCCTTCCCCCGCACCTCCGATTAGCACGGTTGGCTACGTACGGTGTGAAAGAAGTTCAACATACGTAGATTATCTCTACTAAAATACAGTCAAGTTCTCGATTTACAACTCATCATCATGTGTACCTGCACTCACCTGGTAAATCTGAATTCCTTTCAGCATCACGCCCAGCAACAATGAGGCTTCAGACTCTTTCTTATTCTGCAAAAGAATGTGACAATGGATAATGTTTAGGAGTTGAGCCAGGAGGCTATACAACTGAAAATGTCCCATGTAAAACCCCCAGGGTAACGCAAACGTCAGAGCAATTACAAATATATCTTCTTGTTCTTCATCTTTTTCATTTATTTGGCTACCTCTAAAAAAAACTGATGTGACAGGGCATGAATTATATGAGAGGTGTAAAATGCGCACGGGAGTTCAGTTATAGTGTCAGAAATTATAGGCATTTTTTTACTTACATTCTTTTGGGGAGTTACTCAATTTAGGGAGGAGGTTTGGTAAACATTTCTGTTTATTAAACGCAGCGTTCGGAAAATGTTACGATAATATTGGGGCACAATATTGGCAGCATACTGCCAAGAGGGCATCCTTGCCTCTCGTTTGGAGATAGTTTGCGGGAGGGCTGTGGAAGGAAAAGTTGGGGTGGGGTGGGGGGGGAGGCGTAGGGTCATGGGGGTTAACTTAAAAAGACCGCCGATTACTTATCCGTTCTTAACCCATCTCAAAGGCTTAGTGGCATTGGCGCAGCACATTATTGACATTCCTACGGTTAACGGCACCCTGATTTATTGCAGGAGAACTGAGTAGGGGGACTCGAGGAAGTCTTTCATTCCACAGGATTTAATTCCATCGGTGGACTGTGCACATGCCGATGGATGAGATGGAACGGCTGGGACCTGTCGGAGGTGCTCTGCAAAACCCAACGTGGAGCATTCCTTTTCACTGAAATGGATTTCCCTTGAATTTTGGAATTTGGGGGGTAAATGTTCTAGCAGCACTCAAAAAAATAGTACGCTGTCATTTAGGCAACCGTAATTTGATTGCAACGAATATATGGATTTATTATGGTAATACATTACAAAACTACAAGGCGTATTTGATGGATATTGATTTGCTGCATATTCTACAATTGCTCAATATGTTGCAATAATAATTACCGTTTATAAAAATTAATATGCACGAAAGATATTAGGTGATGGAACGGTGGCACAGCGGTTAGCACACTGCACTCTGAACGGGCATCGGAGTTTACCTCTCAGCTAGGACTCACAAAAATAGGAAATGATATCTGAACTCGTCCTGTGGCCCCTCCTTCACTAATTGTGGTTAAACACCGACCACAACTGACAAGTTGCTGGATAAAGTGGCCTTCATCCAGCAGTGAAATTGACGTAAGGCTGTAATTATGATTGCTAAAAAATCCTTCTTCATTGAATTTGTGATACTGCGCCAAGAATAAATCAAGTGCGGGGACAAAACTATGAAATCGGCTCGTGCGCAGGTGCCAAATGGATTGCTGCCTCGCAGCACCATGACAGACGGCGACAGCCGAGGAAGGCTTTTATCCAGCAGTTGATAGAACATGGCACACGACGATTATAATACAGGCCGTTTTTAATCTTTCGATGTGCATTTCACGTGGTGGTAGTGTTGTCGTTGTTATATTTCCCCCCCCCATCTGTCGAACCACGGTGGAGCCCGTCCCCCGCTGCTGGCGGGGCTGGCGGGGCTGGCGGGGCGTGCCGGGGTGTGCCGGGGTGTGCCGTGCCGTGCCACCCCTCACCCGCTGGAGGCGGTAGTAGTGCACCGCGACGTCGTCGAGGCGCGACGCCTCGCGGATGAAGCGCAGCTCGGCCTCCTCGGGCGAGATCCCCGTCTGCTCGCGGTGAACCCCGGGCACGTGCCGCAGCAGGTACTCCATGCCGCGCTTCCGCACCACCTACAACAACATCATCGCCGCCACCACCACCGTCGTCATCGTCGTCGTCGCCGCGGGCATAGCCGTGCCACCGACGTGGCGTTTACAGAGACCGCAAACGTCAAACCGCGGCACCGCTTGACAGTGGCGGATCCAAGGGCAGCGGCAATGGGATTGATCGCATCCCCTTGAGATGCTAAAAATGTTTAATTGTATTGATTTATACCAGGTGATTTATTATTATGAATGTAGGGAAATTTTTTCTCAGCTTTAAATTTGGGGACTGACCCCCTCCCCCCCCCCCCCCTGGGATGTTTGAAGATCCACCTCTGCCACTTCCGGTGTTACAGGTGGACTAGGAATGGAAAACCTGCGCAGCGAAGTGGAATCAACCGAATCACCAAATCCCACAGAAAAAAAAACCTCCTCACCGTTTTAATTTACTCCGCAAAAATGTATCGTCTGTATAAAACCACACCAGAACATCGCACAGCTGATGTGGCTATCTAGTACAACAGTGGACAATGAAGAGTAGCCCGGTGTGACTGTGGTCCCCGGCCTCATACCATGGACCACACAGTAATGCCAACTACCCGCTTTGATAGTTTCACTGGCAGCATTTCAGATGTTCACCGGGCCACTCCTGAAGCCGTCCACTGGCTCACTCGTCAACCTTGACGGGAAACATACCAACTGTTGTATACAAAGGTATATGAGATGAAGCTTCATTTAACCCATTAAGCATGCACGTTTGAATGCTCGGCTCCGATCGATACATTACATAAATACATATGTACATCACCTGGCGGTTTCCCATAATGCATATAACTCGCTCTTTGTACAGTGTCTTGAGGTGTAGCCACTCTATTTAGAAGTTATCCAGTAAAACCTTGGATTGCGAGTAACTTGGTCTGCGAGTGTTTTGCAAGACGAGCAAATTTTTTTTATAAATATAAATTTGATGAACGAGCGAGGTCTTGCAATACGAGTAGTACCTGTATACGCTTTGTCTGCCGAGCGTCACGTGATCACAACTGATATACGAGTGCTTTGGATTACAAACACGTTTCCGGAACGAATTATGCTCGCAATCCAAGGTTTTACTGTACATCCAAACTGCACTGTGTTGTATAATTTTCCTAGAAGATCAGCGGAGATGAGTTAGTATGTTGAACTTCTTTTGCACCGTACGTAGCCAACCTTGCTAATCGGACGTGTGGGCGGGAATTAATTATGGTTGTTTGGAACCGATTGCAAACTGCGCTGGAATTCAGACCGCGCGGGGACGACGTACCCATTCCGGGAAGTAATTCTTGGGCTGGAAGTAGCCGCTGACGTGCTTGCTCTTACGGTAGTTTCCCACGTCGGCCTGGAGGGCGTACGCAGCCAGCAGAAAGTAGGCCTCTTCATTCTGCGGGCACCGTGACGACAGCACCTGCTTCCTCATTTGCAGGTAGTAGTAGTGGCGAGTCGTCTTGTCACTTGGAGAACAGGGAAAAGATAAGGCAATGGACATGGGGTGAAGAAACAGCCAACGGAAGCTGCGTACTTGCGCCCTGGATGTGAACCACAGCAAGACATGTCCACCGACGATTAAAAATATAGTTTTCGTCACTAAAAATGAATAATACTGTGTAAAGTGTCATGTGTAGACATTTACTTAGGAAGCATTCATTGCAAGGGGAAGGCACATTATGAAATTAAATGATTACAATGGTAAAACTAACAATGACGATGACTGCAGTGGTGGTGACATGATATTTGTTACCACTGTATAATGCATTACTATGTGACAAAGATAAATAATTAGAGCCATCCAATTATCATAATATACCTGATCAACTTCCCATTTTCGACGTAGAATTGTACTTTAAAAAAGAGAGTCAGAGGGGGTCCAAAATCAGCACCCTAAAAAAAATACACACAAAAACCACGAAACATTATCAACAAAAACCGCACACATACTTCAATGTAATAGTACATTCGAATGTTTCATTGTCCCCTCTCAGACTGGGACTGACACTTTCAGAAGTAAGACTACGTCAGTGACTGAAATTTCCAGACGCATACGGCACTTAGTGTTGGCGATGTCTGGCCTAGGGGTTGCCCATTGATAAGGACTGGCAGACGGACACATGAAAAATCACGCACACACCAACAGTCAATGGCATGGCATGGGAATTTATTCAAGAGTTGCATTTTGTGCACGGAATGCATAAACGAACGGGCCAAGTGGCTGCGCTGTGGGTTCGTCACAAGCTAGCACGTGCTGATTTGAATCTGGCTGTTATACTGCTTTGAGTGTGTCTTTTTACACAATGTTACATGATCCGTCATACATACGCGGCTGCTTTCCTTCTTCCATTCCTTCGGGCAGTATTTTGTCAACTTTTGTTCGAGATCCATAAATATGTGTTCGTTGTCTGTTCATGAGAGAAAAAAGTGCAGTGTTGGTATGACAGCGCGGAAAATAGAGGACAACTAAAATATTCGCACCGTTAGCACTCGTATAAAAGGTAAAGGCGCAGCCCTGCAATTGCTTACTCACGCCACTGCTGCCAGAAGGACCTCCAATAGAGGGAGCTCTAGGAAGTCCCTCTCGAGGGTAGATGGCCTACTCTTCCACGCTGGTCGTACATTTTTGCAGTTATAAGTATCCATACTTCACCGCACCACAAGCGACCTACTGATCGACTGCGATGCATGACATTTTTTTTTACTTGTAAAAAAATTCTGTAAGTTTACCTATATGTGCACGGCAATATCCCGCCATGAACAGACATGCCCCAAGTAGCGATTTAAGCGCCAAAAAAAATAACAAGACCATTATATATACTTCACATCTTGGCAAACGCTCCCCAAGCATAATTACATTTGAGACGGCAAGCTTTTGTGCACAAATACAGTTATTAAGATGTGAAAAAGCCATCCTCCCACACGGCCAGGCTCAGTGTGAGGCTGACTTGAAAGAGGAATGAAAGGAGACGATTTCACGCCAGGTCCCAGAGCCATGGAACCCCCACTGGCTGATAATATCGCGGAATAATATTTTTTCTGTTCTCGCCCCCCCCCAACACCCACAACCTAGATTTTAATTAAGGGCGGAATTCCGGGCGTAATGAGGGTGAGCACTGCTTGAGCACCGAGCTGGGGTCTTCAGAAATTAAATTCTTTGACAGTGCCCTCAAGGGAGAGGAAGGCTGCGGCGTGATGGGGGCAGGTTGTTCGATAATTACGAAATCAAAGTGAAGTGTGCAAAACTTTGCAGCAAATCGTTCGACAAGCGAGTAAGAGGTTCAACACGAGGAGCAACGGTCGCACATGGGATTAGGTTTGTTTTTTATCTAAGCCGCTATCATAGAGCACACGTATCTGCGTCCCTTTTACATTTGATTATGCGCAATAAATTTAGACTTTTAATGATATAAAAAAATACGATGAATAATTTACACGCCGCTGACAATCCAACGCTGGAGGAAGGCCTTCCTCACACCGCTGGCCACGAGGGTTGTTTCACCATACTTCACCTCGCTTGACAGTGTGGGTTATATATATATATATTTAATTATGATATATTTTATGGAGTGTGCGTGTGAGTGCGAGTGTGCGTGCGAGTGTGCGTGTGAGTGCGCGTGCGAGTGTGCGTGTGCATGGGAGCTGCCGTACTTGCGACGACACTGAGACCAAAGAGCTGCGGTTCCTTCACGTGAAGGGTGTCGCACACCTCCACAAATATCTCATGTCCTGTTGTCTTCAGCTGTGGGCCAACAACAATGGTGCGATGTTGACTGGAGCAAATGGCCATCGTGCCTCACACACACATACATACACGCTGGCGGAGAGGCGGAGGCACCCGTGGCGGTGGTGGTGGTGGTGATGAGGTACTCTGGTGGAGGGTGGAGTGATGGTGGTGAACGTGCTGTACTCTCGGTGGTATTGAGGGTGAAGTACTCGGGGGGGGGGGAGGGGGGGCGGTGTGAGGGTGAGTTACTCAGGGGGAATGTGGTGCGGTATAAACAGTGGTGGTGGTGGTGACGAGGATACTCACCTTGGTGTTGAGGGTGAGGTACTCATGATGGTGACGAAGGTGGGGTTACTGACAGTGGTGTTGAGGGCGAGATACCCATGGGGACGTGGCGAGGGAGAGGTACTCACGGTGCTGGATAGGGTGAGGTACTCGTCGTTTGGAAGCACCACGCACACGTAGCACTGCTCGGACGCTTGCTTGCCCCCCCCCGCGCCCGAGGCGGGAGCCCCCGCTCCCCGCCGGCTCATAGTGCCCCTTGCTCGGTTCACTCTGCAGCCGTCTTCACGGCCGCCCTCCTCGCGCACATCCTGCGGGGCAGCGTCCGGCGGATCCGCGCTCGTCACGGTCAAACGTCAAGTCGCGGGGGAACTCTTTATAACCAACCGGAACATTTTACGATTCCGTGAGGCTCGGCAGGCCCCAATTAAGTCATCTTCGCAAAGAGGTCGCACTGCTAGAACAAGCAAGAAAACTACGCGGACATAATTATGACGGACTGGGTATTGCGCTCATTTTCTGTGAGTTGTTGTATTTGTTAGGCAGCCATGGCGATTGTGCGGGGGAGATGACAGTGCAAGCGGTTTCAACTGCTCCCTCTAATTATTTGCCCAAGTTATGAAAGAAATTTGAAACGGTGACAGCACATCTCTTGCCAAAGACCAGTTAAGACCAGTAGAGGTCACGCTCTAAAAATGTGAGAAAAAATATGTGTAAGCTCAGCTCAACAGAACCTGCTCCTGTAGACTTGTTGGAAATGCATAACAATAAATATATTTCAGCCCTCTGTAAATGACCTGCTGGATGAACGCCTCCCCATGGCGTCAGTGACAGGGGTTGTTTGTCTATACCTTGCTGCAAGTTGGCAAAGTGAGGAATCCAGAACCAGGTTCAGATATAACTCATCACTGACGTAAGTCACGGCCAGGAATAGATTTCAAATTGCTCAGTTGATAGCGGAGTGCAATAACCACTGTGCCACTATTCACTTGTTTTCTGTTCATTGTAATGAGAACCACCACTTCCTGATGCTGCTTTAGATAATAATGCCAATGTGAGACTCGAAATTCCTGGGAAATAAAAAAAAATCGTAAGATATAAAAGTAAAAGCTCCACACGTCAAAAAAAAACAACATTTATCGAACTCAGAAAATGCCTTTCATGAAGTTAAAATATTAATACAAAGGCAATTTTATGGTGTCCACATCTCTAATTTTTTCCCCACCAGAGTGAATGGTTAGAGCTGTCATACGAAGCTCCATGTTGAGCATCTGTAGACACAAAGCAATCTCCAGAGGCATTTAAAAAAAACACTGACATAGGCGACATCGGATCTAATTGCTGCTTAATGCATGCATCGCCCTTGACGCAAAATTGCCAACTCGTGCTTTCAGAGCAAAGCAGAAGCCGAATAATGAGAAAATTACACAATCAGCGAAAGATGTAGGTCAAACGCTTATAATACACTCCAGCAAGATCCTTTGATGTGTTTTTTACAACTCTACATATTTCATTTAACGCCACGTGAGAGCTTTTCGTGGGTAGAATATCTCTTTATCAAAGGAAACGTTAGTAACCGGACAATAATGTTGCTTTCATTTTAGTATTTTACGATTTGATTTACAGCTGTAACTTGATGAAGATGAAGGCCTATCCATGCTGACATCAGTCAGGGGATCGCTTAACTATACTTCGCCACACTGGTCAGTGAAGGTTGGTGAAACAGGGACAGAGGACCAGTTCAGAGAAACTACTCGTCACTGATGTCCGACTTAAGGAGGAGTAAAAAATAATGTTGCCCGGTTCATAGTCCGGGGCACGAATCAGGACAAGCCTGGTAATGAAAATGTCAGTTACCGGATCGAATACACCCGAGAGGATGGCAATCGTCGAGATGGATTAACGAGATAAGTTGACGGTGCATGAGCAGAGTGGATCGTGGCATCATGAGCCAGAGGGAAGGTGATGGCGTGGGGAGGTATGAATTCACCAGTAAATGAGAACAACAGCTGATGATGATGATGATTTGAAACTCAATTTTGATAAACGGAAAAACAAATGCACAAAACATCTCAATTGTTCATTTTTGTTAGCCCTCCAGGCAGAACATGATATACCTGGTAAAACTTTGTAGCTCCGGTGAAATACAATTTAATGGACACGATCAAGTAGGCCACATATTCCTTGCTGTTTTGAAGAGACAACAGCTGCCATCAGAGCTTCCAAAACAATTCCCCATGCCCCCCATGGCACGCCCCCCCCCCCTTTTCCACATTCACCAATCTTCACCATTCAAATGATAAATGCATTGGTTACACAATGCACGTGTCTGGCGACTGGCATATGTGGAAACCAGGCACTGTCACGGGTCACGGGCGGGCACCCCTCGCGACTGAAACTTTGAAAAACCGCGTATTCACAGAGCCTAGACCTGCATTCTTCACAATGCGTCTCATATCAAACTTCCGTGCGGCACGTTCCCCGTTGTTATGGAGTGATTGCATACTACTGGCGGGGCCAATAACCAAAATGACTCAAGAGTGCACCCAGTGTTGTCAGATCTCGGAGGTTAAGCAGGGGTTGAGCCTGGAGAGTGCTTGGATGGGCCACCACCATGCATAAATAGTTGTTAGAGACTGCTGCAGAGGGCAGTGCAGCCAAGTCAGTTGTTGTCATGTCACTGTGCTCTGACATCTATTCACACCATCTTCACCAACCCACACTGACCAGCATGGTGGTGTATGTTTAACACGTAGGCTTTCACGACCAATATCATCCATAATACAGGGTTTTTTTTGGGGTTAGATCGCGTAAATATCTAAATGTGTCGTTAAACCCGCCACCATCCGACACAGACAATTAATAAGGTTAGTCGCGTAATTAGTATGGTTTGTTTACATGACAAAATGTACTAATTGGCTGTGTCGGCTGGTGGCAGGTTTAACGACACATTTATATATTTATGCGATATAACCCAAAAAAAACCTGCTTTATGGATGATGACGTGTGCTTAAATAACCCCCAGGGCAATAATGGCGAGGGGAGGCCATAATTCAACAGTGGATTCACAAAAGGGCTGTACATGTAAATTGTTTAAAAAACTAACACTGCCTTCAAAGTAAATACTGTACTTATATATATCATCGGATAGTTGTGCTTATAAGAGATTATTTGTACTTATGTGTGCTTATTCACCACTGCCAATGCATTATCCCCAAACAATTTGTACATGTAATGGATATATTGGTGTAAATTTGTATGCAAGGCACTTTACCAAGAAATTACAACTCGGTTTATCTGCATTTAAAATACATTTTAACTTGCAATTAGACGAACAGAATCGCTATGATAAAGTTAGAGTTGGTAAGGGGCTAGCATCACGGTCAACGTTTCAACCAGCAAGCGACCAGTGGATGGCTATGTGAAAAAAAAATGCTTTGGTACATATGTCCAGTAATGGTCAGAGCAGGAGAGTGAAATAACCGAGACACGAAGAGGAGGATATCTGAGACAACATTGTGGTGCCCACCCACCCCCTTGTCTTATTACTTCTCAGTAAAGGTCACGGGCAGGTCAGTCGACCGAGGTGCAGGTGCCATCCATCTGTGTGGAAAGAACATCCATCCGAACTCCACAATGACCCATCCGTGGAATGTTGTTTCGCTGAAATGGATGGAACGCTCCTCTGCAGAAATTAAATTGTGAACGAGTTATTTTTCTGCCCCCCCCTCCTCCCCGTGTGGGTGAATTATGTGAATGTTTATTAAAAAAAAGTTTCTTGGTATGAATTGCGTTTCAATTGTTTGATGATGTAGTGGCTGTCTAAATGTGCAACTGCACAAATGCAATCCCCCTTGGCAATCGTTGTAGGATGCTTCCCAGAATGCAGTTTCACACCATGGGAAGTTTGATCGTTTAACTTCCAATGCATACGAGTTTGTGTATACTGTATAGATTTGACTTTTAAAGGGCTTACTCAAAAAACAGCATCTGCTAAAGAAAACAAACTTTCACATGTCGTTTCAAAACCTTTCAATTGTAACCATTTCCAGTTTTCACAATCTCAGATGACCAGTCGGTACTTCGGCCCCTCTAGCTGCTCTGAAAACGAGCCTCGACCCGAAACGTCAGTGTACTCTTTATATTTCTCTTATCAGGTAGCGTTAATGTGACAAGTTTCTGCTTGTGTACCAACAGAGCTAAGTGACAGCAACTGTAAAATAAAATAGTAATGGATAAACATTCCCTTCTTACAAACACTGTTTGCGAACTGCTGCAATCCCTTTGAAATCCCATTCGATGTGTCACAATCAAGTTCACCAAATCCCTGCACTCTCGCGTGCCTCCGCTGTCTTCTACGCGCTTGCGCCACCAAAGCGATCCCCCCTGAACATACAGTGCGGTCTCATAAGTGTGCATTTTGTGCGAAGACTTTTGTGGGGTAAGGCATTTAGAATATGCACAGCACAAGAGATATCACAACAGTGACCTGAAAACACAGCCAGCTGCCTGAAAGGAATCCACTGTCTGCAGCTCTTTGCCACACCTCTGCCTCGGCGAACTGCACTTCCAACACCTCACGCTATTATTTTGCTGGTTTTTTTATTTTTTCACATCGACGCCCGTTAAAAGGTCGTAACAAATGCCGTGTGAAAGGTAAATGTGTAAAAAGGTGCAGACCTGCAATTTCCAGCTCACACCACAGACTGTGGAAGGGCCTCCACCAGAGAGAGAGAGCGAGCTCTAGATGGCGCTTCGAGAGGATACTTTGTCCGACTCATTTCACACTAACCAAATGTCTGGGAAGAGGTGGGAGGACCCACACTTTACTCCACCGCACGCAAGCTGCTGGTGGACAAAAGCCTCCGGCGCTGGGAAATCGAATCAAACCAGTGGACTATCCTCCCTGAATATCCCTATACGCTTCATTAATGTCAGTACACGTCACGTAGATTGTGTAACACACTGGCGTTACATAACAGCCTGGGTTTTGGTGGAATTAATATTATTTTATAATCAGTTCGCAGAGTTTTGTTGGTGTAAGAATGTGTGCGATTTTAGGAATACGTTTGCTTGCTTGTACCACCGTGGTGGGTCAATCGCAGTTGTTTCAGACTTATTTTTGTGTTGGTTCGCCTAATCGAGTCTTTCGCCTCACCCCAACAGTCCCCTTGCCCTGATGGGAACTCAAAACCCACCCTTCCTTCTCCTGCGTGTGCCCTTTCTCCCAAATAACTCTTCTCCATCGCTGCGCGCGAGGGGGGGTCCTGACCGAGCTCGAGGCCCTTCTCCCCGTCCTCGTGGGGCTCAA